CTTTCTTATTTTGGGATCTAGTTTCTTTTAACAAGCAGACCAAAATATACCCAGTATATAGTGGTGTTTTTTTTTTCTTTCTGTTGTTGTTGTTGTTGTTATTTTTTTTCCCCTCTTTCTTCTTTTCTTTTCTGGACAAATGACAAGATGGAGAAATTCACCCCAAAAGAAAGAATAGGAAGTAGTACTCACTGCCAGGGACTTAATCAATATGGACATCAAGTAAGATGTTTGAACTGGAATTTAAAACAGTGATTACAAAGATACTAGCTGGATTAGAAAAAAGCATAGAAGACTCTAGAGAATCCCTTACTGTAGAGATAAAAGAACTAAAATCTAGTGAGACCGAAATTAAAAATGCCATTACTGATATGCAGTCCCAAATGCAAGGATGAACAAAGCAGAAGAGCCATTCAGTGATATAGAAGATAAAATGATGGAAAGTAATGAAGCTGAAAAGAAGAGGGAAAGAAAACTATTAGATCACAAAGGTAGACTTAGAGAACTCAGCAATTCCATAAAGTGAAATAATATCCATATTATAGGAGTCCCAGAAGATGAAGAGTGGGAAAAATGGGCAGAAAGTTTATTCAAACAAATTATAGCTGAGAACTTCCCTAATCTGGGGAAGGAAACAGACATTCAAGTCCAAGAGGCACAGAGAACGCCCCTCAAAAATCAACAAAAATAGGTGAACACCTTGACATAGTGTAGTGAAAATTGAAAACTACAAAGATGAAGAGAAAATCCTGGAAGAAGCTGAGGACAAGAGGTCCTTAACCTACAAGGGTAGTCACATAAGGCTGGCAGCAGATCTGTCCACAGAGACCGAGCACGCCAGAAAGACAGCATGATATATTCAACATGCAAAATGGGAAAAATATGCAGCCAAGAATATATTATCCAGCAAGGCTGTCATTCAGAATAGAAGGAGAGAGAAAGAATTTCCCAGACAAATGAAAACTAAAGGAATTTGTGAACACTGAAACAGGCCTGCAGGAAATACTAAAGGGGATCCTTTGAGTGGAGAGAGAACCCCAAAGTAACAAAGACCAGAAAGGAACAGAGAAACTCTACAGGAACAGCGACTTTACAGGTAATACAATGCCACTAAATTCACATTTTTCAATAATTACTCTGAATGTAAATGGACTAAATGCTCCAATCAAAAGACATAGGATGTCAGAATGGATAAGAAAAAAAGACCCATCGATATGCTGCTTATAAGAGACTCATTTTAGACCCAAAGACACCTGCAGATTGAGAGTGAGGGGGTAGAGAACTATTTATCATGCCAGTGGACATCAAAAGAAAGCTGGAGTAGCAATCCTTATATCAGACAAACTAGATTTTAAACCAAAGACTGTAATAAGAGGTGAAGAAGGATACTATATCATAATAAAGGGCTCTATCCAACAAAAAGATCGAATAATTGTAAATATTTATGCCCCTACTTGGGAGCAGTCAACTATATGTCAATTAATAACAAAATTAAAGAAACTAATTGATAACAATACAATAAAAGTAGGGGACTTTAAAACTGTGGAAAGAGCCAAGATGTCCATCGACAGATGAATGGATAAAGAAGATGTGATATATATATAT